TTTCTAATTGAATTGCTATCAGCTTTCCTGCAAGACTGCACAAAAAACTTCTTCCGGATTCCAGCCCTGCGGTGTCACCCTGGAAAGGCTGCCTTCCAGGGCTGCCAGGAGGGGAAGGGAGGGGAGGGGCCACCCTTCCATGGACTGTCTGGCTGGAGAGCCGCCAGCTTTACCCAGCTCCACGGAGAGTCGCTACAGTAACGGAGTGGAGGCCGCCCTACAGGAGTGGAGGCTGCCCTGCAGGAGCCTTGACAGGAGGCAGGAAGGGCACAGAGCTGGGAAATGAGGGGTCCGGGAGATGGTCCTTCAGGGATTGGCTTCAATGGTTCTTGCAGTAAAAGCAGCTCTGGGACTTGACAGCCTCTAGGCCCTGCTTTGCTGCTCTAGCACCTTCTGCTACGGAGCTCCCACTTACTGGGCATCCCCATCTGAAGCCATCTTCTGGAGCCTGGAAGCCCTCTGCTTGCACCATATGCATGAAAATGCCACGTCGCTGCAGGTTAGCGACTTTCCCCGCCCCAGGAGGCCCTGGCGCCCCTGCTGCCCACTGCATGCCTCCTACACGTCTGTGTGGCTACCTCCCGGATGTGAGGGTACAGCTCGCCTTGGCCCTGGAGCCTGCTTGCCCTTCTCAGCTGAGCACAGGAGCCCTCATCTGGCAGCTTCCAGCTGGGATGCCACACTGTCCCTCTGCATGGAGCCACACTGTCCCTCTGCATGGAGCCACCAGTTTAGGCAGCCCTGACTGTGGCTCCTGGGAGTTTTTGGTTGGGGCCACCATGAGAAGCACTGCTCTCAGCACTTGGGGAGGGGGCCCAGGTGGCAGTGCTCACGTCCATGGGCACGCAGCTAACACCACACACCTGTGGTCACTCGAGGTGGGAGCACCTGCTGCTAGGTGGGGTTTGCTCACGCTGTGCCCTCTCTGAGCCTTGGCAGAGGGTCACTGTGTGCCTGTGTCTGCCCTCCACAAGGCTCTCTGTCCTCCTTGTGAACCGTACTGGTCTCTTGCCCATTTCTGCCGGGGAATTGAGGTTCTCCCGTCATCCAGAGGGAGTCCTTGCAGGGCAGCTCACGTAGCCAGCGTCCTCCCTCTGCTGGGCTCCCCGCACTCTCTTAGATATGTGTGCCAATGAGCAGAATCTCCTATTTTTGACAGTTTTATGACCGTCTTCCTGGCCTTCAGAGTTGGGGTGTGGTGTGCTCCTCCGTTTCAAAGGCTTTTGAACGTGTCTTAACCATGTGCAGGGTCCTGCACACCTTTAGGCAGATTTACTCCCATACATGATCTTTTTTTTACTGCTGCTACATTAGGGATATGGTTTGGATCTCCTTGATGGACAGAAAGACAATGGGTTCACGTCCAGCAACTTCTGACCTCACTCGTGGATTCCAGTGACTGACGGATGACTGCCGACTCTTGGCCCTGGGTACTGTTAGTTTCATTCATCCCGATTTCTTTTTCTTGTCTGACCGCATTGGCTCGGGCCTCTGGTGTGTGACTGGATGGTCTGTCTGGTCAGCTTGCTGGTCCTCAGGGAAGACTTTGAATGCTTCAAAAGCAGATCAGATGGCCACTGCAGGTTTTCTGTTGATGTACTTTGTGATACAATGCAAGGCTCCCTTTGTTTTCCTAAAAAGCTGAATATTGTTATTTTAATCGAGGTAAAATTTTAATAACTGTTATTCAGAGGACCACACAATTTTTATCCTTTAGTCTACATTGAATTACAGTGATTAATTCAATCTTCCATTCTTGGGCAAATCCAGTTGGGTCATGATTCATCAATCTATGAAAACAGCTAAATCCAAGTTTGTTGATAATTTGCTCAGGGATTTGTATTCATTAACAGGCAAGACTGGCCCATCATTGTCTGTCACTTTTCTTAAAGGTTCTTGTTGTTTTTGGACAGTTTTTGCTAGTGTTGGACTTGGTTTTTGTCAGCATGGACGGGCCTCCAGCTGGCTTTAGACACAGTCATGTTGGATTTTGGAGGTTTCTTACTCATTTGGGGCAAATCTCTTGCCAATTTGAGACATGGTCCCTATCAGGGTTTGGGACAACAAAACTTTGGGGAAGTGACTCTTTTTGAACTCTCTGAACAAATTTGTGCAGAGTTAATTTTTACTTCTGAAAGCCTGGGGAGAGCTCACCAGGGCAGCCAAGGAGATGTTTTTCTCTGATAGGGATTTTTGTGTGTTTATAATAATAAAACAGTGAAGATTCTCTTCTGCAAGCTTTGGTAAGTCGTGTGACTGTAGGCTAGGATCCATGCCATGTGTATTCCCTAATAGTTTAGAACAGGTTTGCACTGATTTCACACAATACTGTCAGTGCCGTCTCCAGTGTCCACGTGTGGTCACCATGCCCTCTTTCCAGCCCATCTGTTCCTTCCTCGGATCACTCAGGGGTCACAGACCAGCTTCGATCAGTAGCCCCTATTTCTTCCCCCCTTCTTCTCTCACACAAACATGACATAATCCTTTTCCACCTGGGCAGATTTCTTCTAATGGCACATATGTTGTATTTTTTCCAACGATTTTACTTTCAATCTTTTTTCTAGTCTTATAACTTTTTACTAAACGTGTCTTATATCCATATAGTTGGATTTTTCTTTATTCAAATCATCATCAGCTCTTAATTAGATGTTAAGATATTTTCTTTTTTCAATAATTACGTGATATATTTGTAAATCTACCACCTTACTCAAAGAGGAATATATAGTCCATCTATTCTGTTCTTCTTTCTCTTACATTTTTTGCATGAACAGTTTTTATTTTCTAGTCTTCCCATGTATCATCTTAGAACTTACACAGCCTTGTGAGTCTTTCAGTGGATTTCTGAAGACCTTTTAACGAGTATCTTTGTTTCATCCAAGTGTAACACGGTTGATCATCCTTCATACCAGAAATCCAAAATCACAAATGCTCCAGAATTTGGACCTTTTTGAACACCACCATGTCACAGGGGAGCGTTCCACACCTGCTCCATGTGGGGGATGAGTCAGAGCCTGGTGTGAAGTCACCTCCATGCCCCCCGCATACGGCATATACGGAATCTTGTGTGTGAACCCGGGTCCCATCCGGGAGTCCTCCTGTGTGGGCGTGTGTATTCTGAAGCTCGAGAACACCCAGGTGCTCTGGAGCCAGGTGCTGGGGCGCTGGAGTGCCCACGTCTCTCTTGGGCTCCGGCTGCCCTTCCGGAGTTCACACGGTTCTGTGGGGTGCTGGAGCACCCGCTCGTGCCCAGCAGAGGCCGTGCTGCCGGGCTGGCCTGCCTTCCCTCTGTTCAGCGGCTCACAGTGCCTGGCCCTCCTGTGTCTCCACCGCACCCTACTTGTCTTCCGCCTCAGCAACACCACCTGGGTCCTCGGCCACCTCATGTGCCCACGCATTTTCAGCTGAGTGCTGGACGCTGTACACAGGACTGTGGGTGTGGCTGGAGGCCTGGGTGCTGTCCTGCTTGCATTCACCTGTTGGGCAGGTGGACTCTGGGAACCTGGTGTCCCCTCCACCCATTTACAGAGTAGACATTTGAAGGTTGGCATCGATGCCTTTAAGGGTGTATCCACAGAGTGACCTGGGGTCCCACAGTTGGCCTTCTAGGTTCCAAACAGCCCCTGGCTCCCTGTCCCCAGCACTGCTCTGGCAGGCTAGTGGCTGTGAGGAGCACAGGGCCGTGAGGGCTAGGACAGTGTTGGTGGCCCTACTGCTGGTCACCTTACCTCACTGAACGCCACGGTGTCCCTCAACAACTCTGCACAGACGTGCAGCATTGCCACCCACATTCCAGGCAGCCCCCACGTCCAGCTCGCCTGCCAGAGGAGCTCGACGGGACTCTGCGCCTGGGCTGCTCGGGCCCTTGCCTGCTGGGCTCAGCCACCCCTGCACGGAGCTTTCACTCCTTCCCAGAACGTCAGTTCTCTCCTGCCACCAGGGCCTGAGGTGACGTGGGTCAGCAACCCCTGCCTCCAGGGACACGGTTAGGGTTAGCGGAGCTGATGCCCTGAGGGGGTGTAAGTGGGGCCCCAGGAAAGTCGGGGAGGAAGCCACCAGCAACTAAGGAGACCAAGACCAGGGGCAGGAGGGGGGCTGCAGAGACTGCCCCCCCCCAGGTCACACAGCACGGGCCCGGGGGGAGGGCTCCCTACTCTGATCCTGGAGGTGAGGTCTGCGTCCCCTGCCTCAGGGGCTGGCAGTTCCCAGGCCAGCTGGCTGTGGGTTGGAAGTGCACCCACTCCGAGGCTGCCCACCTCAGTTGCCACCAGAGCCTGCACCCTCCGTGGAGGGTCAGGGATTCGTTCCGTCACAAGAGTCCTGGCTGTACTTCCAGTTAGTGGCTTCTGAGGCCCCCACGCCATGAGGCTCTGCCTGCAGCTCATGGGCGCCAGGCGTCTGCACCACGTGGGCTCAGGGTGGCCTAGCTCGTGAAGCCACCCCGCCACTGGAGGGAAGGCCCCGTTGGGATGGGCCCCCAGGCATGGCTGGTGAAGTCACCTGGGAGACGGTGGCGGGCTCGCTCCCTTCCTCTCCCTCTCTTCCTGCCTCCATCCCCTGATGGGTCTTGCACCGGCTTCCACAGTCCCCCTGCCCGTCATGCGGTCTCTGCCCTGTTTGTCATCCCTTAGGCCCTGAGAGCCACCAGGGGTGGTGGGCGCAGCGCCCAGGCAGGCAGGTCACAGAATGCGGGGCGTCCATTTGGAAGTGGACACGGGGAGCCTCCTTCAGATCCCACAAGGAACACCTAGCAGGTGGCACAGTTTGGTGAACCAAGCTCCTTGGGTGGCCACCTGGTGACTCGCCTGTGCCGGCAGCCCTGCCGCAGGACAGTGTAAAGGCCAGGGTCCCTTGTGAGGTGTGGCTTTCTCTGCTGGCACAGACATGGAGCTGCTGAGCCTCATCTTCAGGGGGCCTGGGCGGAGGCTCTGCCCAGGACCATGAGGGCAGCGGGGAGCCTGGACTCTGGGTGTGGGCCCTCCCTCCATGCGGCCACCCCTTACCTTGTGTCCAGGGTGCGAGGACCGGGTCTGGGCCACCAGCAGGCGCACCACGGCGTCCCATTGCTCAGCTGTCCGGCGGTCCCTTGCGGTCACTGTGAAGGCCACCTGCTCAGAGGGGATGCGCAGCTCCCGGGTGGCGTAGACTGTCCCGTCTGCCCCGACTTTGAAGTCCAGGCTGTTGGTCTCATATTGCATCCCCTGGCTCCCCAGACAGCTGCTGAACTCAACTGGAAGAGGAGGGGGGAGACGGTCAGGGTGGCCAGGCGGGCCAAGGGTGGCAACAAAGCCAGCGCATCCTGGGTCTGCAGAGAGCCTCTGGAGGAGCTCACTGAGTTCTCCACCCCACTGAGAAGGCCGCCTACTCCATCGCTGCCCCGAGGGACCCCACTGTCCTAATGCAGCTGCTTCCCCTCGGCAGACGCGGCTCCCCGCGCTCCCTTGGCATTCGCCACAGTCTGTGAGTGCCCGGTGGGCACCACCAACCCAGAGACACTTCCTGGTCACCCCCTTGCCTCACGCAAACCCCCGCTGCCTGTCAAAGCCCTGATGGATCTATTTCCGCCCAAGAAAACTGTGTGTAGGAAGGAAGCCGAGGAAGCTGGCATCCGGGGACTGTCCCTGATGGCAGGGGAGTCCTGGGAGCAGAACTCAGATTGGCTCATTGAGCAAGAATGGCGGCTGTAAGAGGCCTGGGGCAGGCCGGGTGGGGGGGACCGGGCAGGCCTGGCCCAGCCACGTGCTTTCCTGGTTGGTTGCCAGCGGAGTGGAGGAGTCGGTCTAGTGACACCGCAGGGTACCACACATCGCTTTGCTTCCAAAACATTAATCGCGGAACCAAGTTGCCAGCCCCTCCCGTGGTGCCAGCACCAAGGCCACTTTTAACTCGGTTGCAGAGAAAGACGACTCAGGAGCAGCACATGCGTGGGCCACATTTGTGCATTTCTGACACGTGTTTTCCACAGATGTCGCCTATCTCCACGGTCAATCACAAAGCACCACCAGCCACTGTCAAGACTGCTGATAGAGGCATGGGACAGTCACCCAGTGTTCGTCAAAATGTGGGCTCCAAGCACCTGGTGGAGGGCTTCTCTGAGGAATGCCACTGTCACTGCGTGCATTATTTAATGACTATTTATTCCAAAGCAAACACAGCAGGGCGACTCGCAGCTGCGTCTGCTGAGCGGCTCCCGCGAGCCCACCTTGGACTGGGGACCTCACTATTCAGGTGTCTCCTGGTTCCCGACACCTCCCGCTCGTGGGTGGAGTATAAGAGGGTTTTTAAATGTGCAGGCGCCAGGGTTTCCCCTGGTCCAGAGCAAGCCGGCCAGCCCCAGAGCTCCGGCAGTGACTCTGCTGACCATGGGGCGCACAAGGCCCGGGCTGCGGCTCCCTGGGACAACCCCGCCTGGAAGGACGGGGCAATGACCATTTTTTCCAGGTGTCAGGAGAATCCCAAACTGCTCTACAGCACTGTTTGCCCCAGTGGTGAACAGACTGGAATCAGCCACAGACTGAGGGGTCAATCCTCTCTGCCACCCAGCAGCCACTGACCAGGATGCAACAAGAGCTGGCGCCTGGCGGGAGGGGAGCATGGATCACAGGCAGCTCCTTTGTTCTCGGAGAGAGAATTTCTCTAAGATGGACGGACGGAGCGGACGGCAGCAGGAGGGATGGTGCTTCTGTAGGGGCACATGACCGAGCGGCTGGGTTTTATAAAAACAGGCACAGAGCTCCCGCCACCTCTCCATGAGCACCACACTGCCCTGGGGAGGAGCGCAGCATCTGAGCTGCCCGCACAGGCAGCCGTGGAGCCACCGTCCTCGGACGTTCCCATTTTACATATGAGGAAACTGAGGCTCAGGGACATGCCACACCTTCTTGAGGTGACAGGAACAGGAGGGATTTGAAGCTCATTAGAAGATCTCAGTGGACCCTGGGCCTCCTCTTGCCCGGCTCTGTGAGGCTGGCTGGAGAGCCATCACACCTGGCCCTGTCCTTCAGCACAGCTGTCCTTCAGCACAGCTGGCCTTCAGCACACCTGGCCCTGTCCTTTATCACACCTGGCCTTATCCTTCGTCACACTTGGCCCTGTACTTCAGCACACCTGGCCCTGTCCTTCGTCACACTGGGCCAGACCTTCATGACACCTGGCCCGAGTGCCTCATGACTTGCTTCAGTGAGACACAGGCCCCAGGACCAAGGCCCTTAGCCAAGGTCGCATGAGCTTGTCCACTGCATACCTGCTGGGCTCCCCCTAGCACCTGGCAGTGGGGTTCCACCTGGGAATGGGACAGAACCCAGGCCCTTAGGGGCAGTGACAGGGCATTGGCCTGCCCAGTTGCTATGGAGTCAAACTGGAGCCCTAGCCAGACTAGGGACTCCTGAGGTGGGCATGTGGGGTGGCTGGCATGTGGGGTTCCATCTCCGGCTCTGCTGGGGACAGGCTGTGGAGTGTCAACATTGGAGTCCTGGGCATCTCTGATGTTAACAGCCACTGAAGTGTACGGCAGCATGGTGAGATCATGTTATATGAATTTTACCTCAATTTAAAGAAAAGCATTTCAGTGGCTTTCTGAGCCCTGAGTTCTTGGCTGCTAGAATGACAGGGAGCGGGTGCCTGGGGCCACCAGTGTCCCGGTCTCACAGTGTCCCTGGATGGGTTGGGAACTCCACCGTCCTTCCCTCTCCCTCAGAGGCCTCTGGACCTGCCAGGGCAGGGGCTGTGCACCTGGCAGTCCACATGCCCCTCAGGGGAGGACCTGGGCTCGCTGGCAGGTGGAGACAGAGGAACCTGATATCTGGGAGGAGAGTCCCCAGTGCCACAAAGGACCAAGTCCCAGAGCCCAAGCAAGGCGGAGCTCGGCGCCGGGGAGCCACAGAGCAGCACACAGAGCCTCAGCCAGTGGAGGTGCCTTGCCGGCTGCAGCCCTAGGAATCGGTTCCCACAGGAGCTTGGACGTCTGATCTGCAGGAACTGTGCACACCACAGAGAGAACATGGTGACAAGTCTGCCTCTAGAGTCCCTGGGAGTCGCGCACCCCAGTGGCCAGGTGCAGACCGCGGCAAGGAGAGGACCTCTGCCCTGGTCCAGTGATGGGGAATCAGCTCCTGAGACTTACGGGTGGGTCCCCTCTCGGCAGGGTGCAGGACCAGCCCCACGGGTGCCACCTCCTCCTCCCAGGGAGCATTCAGGGCCCAGTTCACCGGGGCCAACGAGCAGGGCACAGGAAGCCCACTCCGCCCAGGAGTCTCGAGTGTTCAGAGAACTTGCAGCCGGGCTCCGCACATGTCAATGAGCCCAGGAGGGGTGCCGGACCCTCCTGGCTTCAGTTCTGAAACCCAAGGATCGCCACTTCCCTCCCTGTGCTCCACCAAGCACTGGCAGCCCTTCTGTCTCTCCAGGATGGTGCCCACGCCCCCTGGCCCTGCCTCGAGGTGCAGAGCCTGCTACAGTGCGTTGGGTGGTCGGAGAAGGGGCAGCTCCTTGCTAGGAGGCTGTGGGCTTTATCTCACTGCTTTTAATTGCTGGCTCTAGGGAAGTGGGCGAGTGGGGACAGGTATCGAGTGGCACATGGTCACTACTTCCCTGTCTGCAGAGGCAGTCCGTGGGGGCAGCAGGCCACTGTGGCCCTAGGACGGGCTTACAGGGGAACTGTGCTGTGGCCACAAAGCAATGCTCTGATCACACATTGGAACCCTGCACTTCTGAGGTGGTGAGAGAGAGAGAGAGACTTTGGAGCTGGCAGCAGGGCTCCAAGGAGCCGGGCCGGATGTGTCTTTAAAACACAAGAAACAGGACCCAGGAGCGGGCTATTTTTAGAGCTGCCAGCCTCTCTCTCTCATTAGCGACTTGCACATCAGGACTGCTAATGAAATCATTGGCAATTAAGGCTCAGGTGGAGAGCGGCTCTCTCTGTCCTGAGAGGCCCCACCCACTGCTGCAGGGAAGGGCCTCCGGGTGGCTCCCGCCCTGGTCGGCTCCTGCTCCATTTTAGCAGGAGTGCAGCCTGTTTCGCCTCCCGTCTCTGCTTTGCTCCTGCTCTGGCTTCGTCCCTTCAGGCTGGGGGTGTGGGGGGTCATGGTCTCTTCCCCTCCAAGCTGTCACAAAGCTGCTCTTGGCAGGAAAGGAGAGGGGAGGCTGGGGGTGGGTCCCTGGTGCCCACGTGGAGCTGTGAACCCAGGCAGTGCCCCGCTGGAGGGGAAGGAGCTCTGGCAGAGAGGCCCCAGGGCCTTCTGTCCCCCGCCTGCCACGCAGCTTGGCAGGGCCGGTCCTAGGCTGGTGTCTGCTCGTGGGTGGCAGAACCTGGGTGCGGGCTGCTCCTGAGCTGGTGGGACAGTGAGGACGTGTGAAAACCGCGTGAACAGGAGGTTTCACGACCCCACACCCCTCAGGACGGCTTTCTTCACCCTCTGTCCTTTTGAATTAAAACCATACACATAAATAAAAAATGTGTCTCTGCCCCCGACTGCCCACGTACCACCAGGAGGGAAACTTAGAGGGGAGAGCTAAGAAGCAGACTCCTCCACACCCAGGGGCGGCCCGGGTGGGGGCCTGTGCCTGTGTCCCTGCAGGTGCCCTCAGCCTTGGCATGACTCTCCTGGGAAGAAGGCCTTGAGCTTGGAAGCCGACTCTGGGCCTGGGAACGGGCAGGGCTTGGCCTTCCCAGGAGAGGGCCGGCCGGAGTCCGAGTCTCCGCCAATCTCAGTGCACACTGTCCAGAGCCCCCAGGGTTCTGAGTGAGGGGCCTTTGCCGGGATCTCACGGGAGACAAGTCCTGACCTCTGCCACCCCCAGCCACTGCTTCAGCCCTCAGCTGGCCCAGAGGTGAGGGCGCACACGTGTCACTCTGGGTTGGGGTCAGGCAAGGGCCAGGGCGGGCGGGACGGCAGCTTGGAGCAGGGGAAGAGCACTGGGGTGCAGGAGCCCCTGGGCCTCCCCTCCGTGGGTGCGCGGGCACTGGCAGCCGGCAGCCCATGCATCTGGCTCATCTTCAGCTGTAGGTTTCTGGAGCCAAATCCAAACACGAGCCTGAACTTTACCAGCCTGGCTCCCTCCGCCAACATGCGCAGGTCGGCTGCCAGCCATTTTTCTGAAGTAAATAAGAAATGCAAACACGTTTCTCCCGTAGCTCACAGCAGCCTGCCCCGGCAGCCTCTCCCCGGTCGGTCCTCTGCTCAGGCCTCGTCCCAACACTCCTGTGGCTTTGGGATGCTGGGGGCCTTGAGA